AAGTGGTAGAGCGCTAGCCTTGAGCTGAAGAACTGAGGGACAGTGCCCAGGCCCAGAGTTCAGGCCCCACTACCGGACCCCCCCAAAAAAAACAGAGAAGAATTAGATTGTTTTGTTTTTGGCCAATCCTGGGGCTTGAACTCAGGGCCTGGGCACTGTCCCTGAGTTGCTTTTGCTCAAGGCTAGCGCTCACAGTGCTATCTCCAGCTTCTTTTGTGGATGTGGTACTGAGGAATCAAACCCAGGGCTTCATGCATGCTAGGTAAGCACTCTACCACTAGGCCACATTTCCAGCCCCAATTGTTTGTTCTTATAGTTACTAGAGTAGATTTGTGTGTGTGTGTGTGTGTGTGTGTGTGTGTGTGTGTGTGTGTGTGTGTGTGACACACAACACCAATACTGGGACTTAAACTTAGGGCCTCTTGCGTCAGCTGCCCCTTTTGCCTGGACATTATCCCTGAGCTCTTTTGTTCAAGGATAGCACTCTACCACTTGAGCCACAGCACCACTTCTGGCCTTTTCTGTGTATGTGAGGAATCGAACCTAGGGCTTCATGCATGCTAGGCAAGCACTCCATCACTGAGCCACATTCCCAGCCCTATGGCCACACTTGATGCAAAATTGAGCATCAACCACTGCTAGCATCTTGTCCTATTGTGTGAATTGCTAGGGAAGAGAAAAAAAAAGTCTGCTTCTGAACTGGTACATATCCCAAGAACTCAATGAAATACAGGTGCAGCTGTGTGAGTAAAGAGTTCATTTGGGGTTACTTACAAAGCAGTGATGGCTCCAGTTACCCAAATCACAGGAAATCACTGACACCCTGCCCTCCAAACTTCTATTCCCCGTGTCAACCTAGACTTAGTGCGCCCCCTGGTGTCCAAAATGGGAGAAGGTGCAGATGAACCAAGGCACAGACAGAACCAAACACTAGGAAAGTTCTGTTTGTGTGCAACTCATCCACGCTAGACCGTGAGGTTGGCTTTGTTTTGCTGTGGTCTGGTACAGAGAACAGCTGTGAGATGGAGATATTCTGGCAAGGATTCAGAGAACAAGTCTTACTATACATGGCCCTCAATATTTACTGATGGCTGGCTGGTCTCTCTCTCTCTCTCTCTCTCTCTCTCTCTCTTTTGCCGGCTTGAACTCAGGACCTGGGTGCTGTCCTTTGTGATCAAGGCTAGCACTCTACCAATGAGCCACATCACCATACAGAGTCTCACAGACTTCCCTGCCTGGGCTGGCTTTGAACCATGATCTTCAGATCTTAGTCTTCTGAGTCCAGGTATGTGCCACTGGCACCCATTGTTTCTTTGTTTTGGTTGGTTCTTTTCTTTCTTTCCTTTGTTCTTTTTTTCTTTCTTTCTTTCTCTTTATTATTATTATTATTATTTTTTGTCAGTTGTGGGGCTTGAACTCAGGGCTTGGGCACTGTCCTTGAGCTTTTTTGTTCAAGGCTACCAATCTACCACTTAGAGCCACAGCACCATTTCTGGGTTTCTGGTGGTTAATTGGAGACAAGAATCCTGTCCAGGCTGGCTTCAAACTATGTTTCTCAGATCTCAGCTTCCTGAGTAGCTAGGATTACAGGTGTGAGCCACCAATGCCTAGCTTGCTTGCTTGCTTCTTTCCTTCTTCCCTCCCTCCCTCCTCTCTCTCCCCTCTTTCTTTCTATTTTTGTCGGTCATGAGGCTTGAACTCGGCCTGGGCACTGTCCCTCAGCTCTTCAGCTCAAGGCGAGCACTCTACCACTTGAGCCACAGCGCCACTTACAGCTTTTTTTTCTGCTTATGTGGTGCTGAGGAATCGAACCCAGGACCTCATGCATGCAAGGCAAGTGCTGTACCACTGAGCCACCTTCCCAGCCCCTTATTAGATAATTTGAGGGAAAGGAAAGGTCCTATTCTTTTTGTGGTATTGGGATTTAAACTTGTCTCTGTGCTTGCTAGGCAAGCACTTTGTAGGCAGGTGCTCTTCAGCTGAGCCACACCTCCAGGTCTAGGGAAGGCTTAAGGAAACACATTTTTGCTTGGGATTCGCTCATATTAGAAGGTGGAGTTGGGGGCTGGGAGGGTGGCTCTGCGGTAGTGTGTTTGCCTTGCATGCATGAGGCCCTGGGTTCGATTCCTCAGCATCACGGAAACAGAAAAGGCCGGAAGTGGTGCAGTTGCACAAGTGGTAGAGTGCTAGCCTTGAGCTGAAGAGCTCAGGGACAGTGCCCAGGCCTAGAGTTCAAGCCCCACGACTGACAAAGTTAATGTGTGTGTGTGTTATAGATAGATGTATAGATATGGTGGGGTTGATTCTGATCAGATATTTTAATCAATTTGCTAGAGTTGGATTTGAATGCCCAGGCTGGTTTTGAACCGGAATCCTCTGATCGCCTCACTAGTTAGAATCACAGGCGTGCGACACCCTGGGCCTGGCATCATTTCTCGGGGCTTGAACCCAGGGTCTGGGCACTGTCCCCTGAGCTGCTTTTGCTCAAGGCTAGCACTCTACCACTTGAGCCAGAGTCCCACTTCCGGCCTTTTGTGTTTATGCGGTAGTGAGGAATCGAACCTAGGGCTCCACATTCCCAGCCCACTGCACCTTAATCGTAACCTCGCAGTTTCCATGGCAACAGGAGGCTAGCCCGGGACCGCAGAAACCCTCACAGCCAATCAGTAGTGCGCTTATGCGCATGCGCCGTAGCGGGCCAATGCGCTCCGACAGTGGCGTTTGCGCACGCGCATTCCTCGCAGAAGCGAGCGTGAGGTCGCCAGGCGCGTGAATGTGCCCCCGGCACGTTCCCATCTTCACTCATCCAGGGCGCTCGGGTTCAGAGCTTGGAATGTTCCCGGAACTTAATAACCTTCTCAACACCAGCCCTGACCGGGCGGAGCAGGCAAGATGTCGTGGAGGCCTGAAGGGAGACGGGCTATGAGAGAATGGTGGAAGCGTTACATCCGGGACCTACGCGCGGGAACCGGGAAAGCTCGGGCTTCTGGGAGTTGTAGTCCATTGAGGAGGGGGCGTGGTCTGGATCTGAGTCTGTGGCCGCAGCAGGCAGGCTCTGGCCCTGGGGAATGTGGATTTCTAGGTGGTCTTCCTAATGACAGGTGGGCTCCTCGAGGCCTCCGAGACGCTGTCTGTGCCTTGGTGTGGCCCCACGTGCTAGGCAAATTGTAGGATTTCATAGATCCTGGAGGATGGTAGTTAGCTATCAATTGCCCTGCCCAAGCCTGCAGATAGCTCTGGCCAGCTCTGGTTTATCTTAGGCTAGAATTAGAGTGAAAGAATGGAGGATTGAAGTGGACATGAGGAAATGACAGCCTGGGAAGTAGCCTTCAAGTCCTGACAGCGGGATCTTTCTTGATGTTTATTATTATTATTTTATTGTTGGGGTGCAGGCCCTTGGGCTTGAACTCAGGCCTCTATCCCTGAGCTTTTGTATTCAAGGCCAGCACTTTACCACTGGAGCCACATCTCCACTTCTGTCTTTTTGGTGGTTCATTGGAGGTGAAAGTCCCATGGATTTCCTGATTGTGCTGGCTTGGAACTGTGATCCTCAGATTTGACATTCCTAAGTAGCTAGGATTACAGGCATGAGTTACCAGATCTTCACAAGTCGAATTTTTTTTTTCTGGTCCTGGGGCTTGAACTCAGGGCCTGGGCACTGCCTTGAGCTTCTTTCTGCTCTAGACTAACGCTGTTTCATTTGAACCACAGTGCCAATTTTTTTTGGGGGGTGTTGGTAGTGGGGCTTGAACTCTGGGCCCAGGAGCTGTCCCTCAGCTCTTCAGCTCAAGGCTAGCACTCTACCAGTTGAGCCACAGCACCACTTCTGGCTTTTTCTCCTTATGTGGTGCTGAGGAATTGAACCCAGGGTCTCATACATGCCACGTTCCCAGCTGGGAAGAAAAATTTTTCTACCCTAGTTTGCCTTCTGAAACTGGAGATCAACCTTTTTATCATAACTTTAGTTATTGATTTTCCCCAAAATTCTGACTTATTGTCTTCATTTCCAAGTAAACTTGATATATTTTGCAGTTAATAAATACCTTCTCCAAAAAAATACATTTTCCAGGTATAGAAATTCACACAGCAGGGACACAGGTGGCTCACGCTGTAATCCCAGCTCCTCAGGAGGCTGAGATCTGAGGATCACAGTTCCAAGCCAGCCCAGGCAGGAAAGTCTGTGAGACTGTTCTCTTTAATAAACTACTCAGAAAAAGCTAGAAGTGGTGCTGTGGCTTGAGTGATACAGTGCTATCCTTGAGACAAAGACTTTAAAGGACAACACCCACCCCCAGAGTTTAAGCCACAGGACAGGCAAAAAAAAAAAAAGTTTACACAGTCAACTAGATTTCTGCACTATTTTGACTTCTTTCCAGGGAGAATAATTATCTGTATTTCTCTTAACTTCTAGGGGAAACTGACTCTACTCTGTGATTCCAAGACGGATGGAAGTTTTCTTGTGCACCACTTTCTCTCCTTCTACCTCAAAGGTATGAGACTCACTGATGTTATAGGAAAAGAAACCTAGCCGGGCGCCGATGGCTCATGCCTGTAATCCTAGCTACTCAGGAGGCTGAAATATGAGGATTGTGGTTCAAACCAGCCTGGGTAGGAAAGTTCATGAGACTCTTATCTCCAATAAACCACCAGAAAAACCAGAAGTGGCATTGTGGCTCAAGTGGTAGAGCACTGGCCTTGAGCTGAAGAGCTGAGGGACAGCACCCAGACAAGGGACAAGCCCCACGACTGACCAAAAAGAAAAGGAAAGACGAAAGAAACCTAAGGCAAAAGGAAAAAGAGGCTGAGTGTTAGCAGCTCTTGCCTGTAATTCTAACGACTTAAGAGGCTGAGATCTGTGGATTGTAATTCCAAGCCAGGTGAGGCAGGAAAGTCTGTTAGACTTTTTTTTTTTTTTTTAACTAGTCCTGGGGCTTAAACTCAGGGCCTGGGCTCTGTCCCTGAGCTTCTTTTGCTCAAGGCTAGCACTCTACCACTTGAGCCACAGTGCCACTTCTGGCCTTTTCTGTGTATGTGATACTGAGGAATTGAACTCAGGGTTTCATGCATGCTAGGCAAGCACTCTACCACTAAGCCACCTTCCTAGCTCCTCCAACACCTAAAGGCCAGAAGTAGAACTGTGGCTCAAGTGGTCAAGTGGTAGCTTTGAGTAAAAAGCTAAAAGACAGCACCTACATCCTCAGACTAGCTCAAAAAAAGAGAAAAGTAATCATCTGGGTGCTAATGGCTCACATCTGTAATCTTAGCTACTCAAGAGGCTGAGGCCAGCCTAGGGAGGAAAGCTTCTAAGATTCTTTTTTTCTTTCTTTTTTTTTCTTTTCTCAGTTATAGGGCCTGAACTTGGGGCCTGGGTGCTGTCCCTCAGCTCTTCAGCTCAAGGCTAGCACTCTACCACTTGAACCACAGCGCCACTTCCGGCTTTTTCTGCTTATGTGGTGCTGAGGAGTCAAATCTGGGCCTCAAGCATGCAAGGCAAGCACTCTACCACTGAGCCACCTTCACAGCCCCTCTCAGGGACTTTTCTGCCTGAGCTGACTTCAAACTGACATCCTCAGATCTCAGTCTCCTGAGTAGCTAGGATTATAGGTGTGAGCCACCAGTGCCCTGCTTCTTCCCCTTTTGTGTTTTTTGGTCAGTCATGGGGCTTGAACTCTGGGCCTGGGCGCTGTCCCTCAGCTCTTCAGCTCAAGGAAAGTGCTCTACCACTTGAGTCACACCGTGTGTGTGTGTGTGTGTGTGTGTGTGTGTGTGTGTGTGTGTGTGTGTGTGTGTGTGTGTGTGTGTGTGTGTGTGTGTGTGTGTGTGTGTGTGTGTGTGTGTGTGTGTGTGTTGATCGTGGGGCTTGAACTGAAGTTCTGGACAATGTCCCTGAGCTTTTTTGCTAAAGGCTAGAGCTCTACCACTTGAGCCACAGCTTCACTTCTAGCTTTTTCAGTACTTCATTGGAAATAGGAGTCTCATGGAGTTCCTTGCCTGAGCTGGATTTGAACTGTGATCCTCACATCTTAGCCTCCTGAGTAACTAAGATGGTAGACTTGAGCCCCTGGTCCCGGCTGCCTCTGGATGTCTTGATCTGTTTGAGTGCTTCTGTTTCCAGAGGAATGAAGTATGTGCACTAAGGATCAGTTTTATTTCCTAGCTAACTGTAAAGTCTGCTTTGTGGCACTCCTCCAGTCCTTCAGTCACTACAACACCGTGGGACAGAAACTGGTAAGTATTCTAGCATTTCCCCGAGTGATCCTATGTGCCATATTTGTATCAATATAGGGTAAAGGACTTAGAAAAGGAATGAGGGCTGGGAATGTGCCCTAGTGGTAGAGTGCTTGCCTAGAATGCGTTAAAACCCCTGAGGTTTCATTCCTCAGTTCTGCACATACACAGAATGCCAGAAATGGTGGTAGAGTGCTAGCTTTGAACTGAAGAGCTCAGGGACAGCATCCAGGCCCTGAGTTCAAGCCCCACGACCAACAAAAGAAAATAAAAAAAGAATAACAACAACAACAACAAAAAGAGGGAAAGCAAGAAGCCCTGAGTTCAAGTCCTAGTCCTAGCACAAAATAAAAATAAAATAAATAAATAAAATAAATTGCTACAATTGTGAGTGAAAATACATGTCTGAAAACAGCATAGAAAGTGTGGATGGGTTGGGCGATCAGAGGGAAGAAAAGGCATAGTTAGAGGTGAAGAATGGACTTTTGTGACTTGTAAGCTCTCTTTTATTTTTGTTGGTTGTGGAACTTGAACTCTGGGCCTGGGCGCTGTCCCTCAGTTCTTCAGCTCAAGGCTAGTGCTCTACCACTTGAGCCACAGCACCACTTCCAGTTTCCTGGTAGTTCACTGGAGATAAGAGTCTCACAGACTTTCCTGCCCTGGCTGGCTTTGAACCAAGATCCTCAGCCTCCTGAGTGGCTAGGATTACAGGCGTAAGCCACCGGTGCCTGGCTGTGACTTACAACCTCTTATGAGCTGTGGTCTACCCACTGGGATGGGATTTCCTACAAGATCCAGCTGCTCACTTCCTTCTTTGTCACGTTTAGGGTGTCAACCTGACCACAGCCCGGGAACGTGGGCAGCTAGTGTTCCTGGAGGGCCTCAAGTCCTCAGTGGACATCTTCTTCCACCCTCAGGAGGAGCCACACCCCCTCCGCTTTCTCAGGTGAGCCTGACACAGCTGGCAGGTGGGCCTAGACGAGGGTCACTGGGTAAAATCCCTTCTGCTTGTTATGTGGGAATGCAGAACTGGCCTCCTACATCAGACATTTCACCTCCATGTTGCAGCATTATCAGAAAGCTCTTGGCTCCTGAAAGAAAACAACAACAACAACAAACTTCCAATAGGGCTGGGAAGGTGGCTCAGTGGTAGAGCGCTTGCCTCGCATGCATGAGGCCCTGGGTTTGATTGCTCAGCACCACATAAGCAGAAAATAGCTGGAAGTGGCGCTGTGGCTCAAATGGTAGAGCACTCACCTTGAGCTGAAGAGCTGAGGGACAGTGGCCAGACCCAGAGTTTAAGCCCCTCTCAGCATCTCTGACCCTGTATTTCTTCATCTGGTCTCTTGTTTCTTCATGGGGCTGGTTATACCTGATTGTAGGATGTGAGCTATGAGGAGCCATCCTTGTTAAGATAACTCTGGAATGTGAGGCAGGGCGCTTGCCCTGGGCACTTTGCTCCATTTCTCTACCCAGTGTGGGAAAATGACAGCTGAGTATCCATAAATAGGAGAGGATGTGAGTTGGTGGGCCAACTGATGTCAGAATTTCTATCTGTTGGCTGTTTAAGAAGCCTACAGTGAGGGCTGGGAAGGTGGCTCAGTGGTAGAGTGCTTGCCTTGCATGCTCAAGGCCCTGGGTTCGATTCCTCAGCACCACATAAGAAAAAAGCCAGAAGTGGCGCTGTGGCTCAAGTGGTAGAACAATAGCCTTGAGCTGAAGAGCTGAGGGACAGCACCCAGGCCCAGAGTTCAGGCCCCATGACCGGATCCCCCCCTCAGCAGCATGTAAACAAAAAAAGCCGGAAGTGGCACTGTGGCTCAAGTGATAGAGCACTAGAGCACTAATCCTTGAGCTAAAGAGTTAAGGTGTAGCACCCAGGCCCAGAGTTCAAGCTCCATGACTACCACCAACAACAAAAGAAGCCTATAACCCTCTACCCTTCACCACAAAGATTCCTGAAATTGCTGGTATTCATTTATTTTTTTTAAATAATTTTTATTATTTTTTTATGGTCTACTGTTTAGACACAAGAACTTTGACAGTTTGCTAGGCATTCATACCTCCAGCTGTTTTTGCCCCAATTATTTGTTTTTTGTGTTTTTTTTTTTTAAATTTTTTTATTTTATTTTATTTTTTTTGTGAACATACCGTACAGAGGGGTTACAATGACATGGGCAGGATAATGCGTACATTTCTTACCAAGCATTGCAGCCTCCTCCTTTGTTTACCCTCCACATCCCTTCCCAGTGCTGCAATTATTTGTAAGATAGGATCTCTGGGCTTGGATGCTGTCCTTCAGCTCTTCAGCTCAAGGCTAGCGCTCTACCACTTGAGCCACAGCGCCACTTCCTGTTTTCTAGAGGTTAATCGGAGATAAGAGTCTCACGGACTTTTCCTTCCTCGAGCTGGCTTCGTGATCCTCAGATCTCAGCCTCCTTGGTAGCTACGATTACAGGCATGAGCCATTGGCGCTTGGTGGCCACCTGGCTTTTATGATATTTCTTTTTCCTTTTTTTTTTTATCAGGCCTGGGGCTTGAACTCTGGGCCTGGGAACTGTCCCTGGGCTCTTCATCTCAAGGCTAGTACTTTATCACTCAAGTCTCAGTGCCACTTCCAGTTCTCTAGTGGTTAAATAGAGATAAGAGTCTCAAGGCCTTTCCTGCCTGGGCTGGCTTTGAACCTCCAACCTTAGATCTCAGCCTCCTGAGTAGCTGGGATTACAGGCGTGAGCCACCAGGGCCCAGCCTGGATAAGCATGTTTAGAGATTGAGCGCTAGGGACTTATTTCCTTATTTCTGTTTTGGTGGTTGTCCTAGGGCTTGAACTCAAGACCTGGGTGCTGTCCCTGAGCTTTTTTGTTCATGGCCAACTCTTTATACCTCTTGAGTAACAGCTCCACTTGCAGCTTTTTTTTTTTCCTGGTTAATGGATGATAATAAGAATCTTACCGATTTTCCTGCTTGAGCTGGCTTGGAAGTGTGAGCCTCAGATCTCAGCCTCCTGAGTAGCTAGGGTGACAGGTGTGAGCATGTAGCACCCACCTTTCAGCTTTGGTGATTTTTGGCCCGGTGTTTCTAGGGAAGCCAATGCTGGGAGCCTGCAGCCTTTATATGAGTTTGTCCGGGAGGCCCTAAAACCTGTGGACAGCGAGGATACTACGTGGAGGTTCCCAGTGCTGCTGGTAGATGACCTCAGTGTGCTGCTAAGCTTGGGTTTGGGAGCGGTGGCCGTGCTGGACTTTACCCACTACTGCAGAGCAACTGTGTGCTCGGAACTACAGGTACTAACAACCCTGCTCCCTGTATTCCTTGTTTGTTTGTGGCTCCAAGAACCCAAGTAGGCTCCCCATTTGGTGCTGAGATCAAAACCCAAGGCCTCAGGCATGCTAGGCAAGCAGTTCACTGCTGAGCTATGAATATACACCCAGCCCCAAGCTGTCACTTTCTGATGACGTAGACCTCTTCCCTTCCATTTTCCTAGATGCAGGTTATACATGCCCATCTTCTGACTCCTCTTACAGGATCCATGGAGTCACAGGGTGCTTTCTCTTTTGGGTTTCCCTAGCATCCATGTTTCCCTCTTTCCTGGCCATGTCATCCTTGATTTTTTTTTTTTTTAATGTTTGCCAGTCCCAGGGCTTGAACTCAGGGCCTGGGCCCTATCCCTGAGCCTCTTTGTGCTCAAGGCTAGGTCTCTACCACTTGAGCCACAGCACCACTTTGGGCTTTATCTAAGTAGTTTATTGGCAGTAAGAGTCTCAAGGACTTTTTTGCCCAAGCTGGCTTAGAACCGAGATCCTCACATTTCAGCCTCCTGAGTAGCTAGGATTACAGGTGTGAGCCACCAGCACCCTGCTTTTTAATATCTGTGTGGATAGCTCATACACTTCTGTGTGTGTGTGTGTGTGTGTATGTTGGTCATCATCACTATTGGCTTTTTCTGTGTATGTGGTACGGAGGAATTGAACCCAGGTCTTCATGCATGCTAGGCAAGGACTCTACCACTAAATCCCATTACTAGTCCTTTCCTGAGCTTTTTTCCTCAAGCCTAGTGCTCTACCACAGTGCCACTTTTCTGCTGGTTCACTGGAGGTAAGAGTCTCATGGATTTTTCTGGCTGGGGTGGTATTGAACCATGATTCTTAGATCTCAGCCTCCTGAGTCATTAGCATGACCGGTGTGAACTACCAGCACCCTGGGAGGTAAGAGTCTTTTAGACTTTCCCACCCAAGCAGGCTTCAGCTGTGATCCTCCAGTCTCAGCCTTCTGATTAGCTAGGATGAGAGGCATGAGTCACTGGTCCAGTGACATTTTTCATAACGTTCAAGAATTGAAGAGAGGCCAGGCGCTGGTGGCTCACGCCTGTAATCCTAGCTACTCAGGAGGCTGAGATCTGAGGATCATGGTTCAAAGCCAGCCCGGGCAGGAGAGACCGTGAGACTCCTATCTCCAATAAACCACCCGAAAACCAAAAGTGGCGCTGTAGCTCAAGTGGTAGAGCGCTCGCCTTGAGCTGAAGAGCTGAGGGACAGCGCCCAGGCCCAGAGTTCAAGCCCCACGACTGACCAAAAAAAAAGAATTGAAGAGAGGAGTTAAGTGCTAGTGGCTCATGCCTCTCATCCTTACTACTCAGAAGGCTGAGATCTGAGGATTGACGTTCAAAGGCAGTTGGGCAGGAAAGTCGAAAGCAATGCTGTGGCTCAAGTGGTAGAGCTCTTGCCTTGGGCAAAAAGAAGGTCAGGGACAGCACCCAGGCCCAGAGTTCAAACACTAGGACCAGCAAAAATAAAACTAAAAAAAAAGAACTGAAGAATGGAACCAATTTTGAAGATGCTAGGGTGAGCTTCGTTTTAGATGAACAGGATATTCAGGTTGGATTGGCTAGTGAAAATACATAGCTGGGGGCTGGGAATGTGGCTTAATAGTAGAGTGCTTCCCTAGCATGCATGAAGCCCTAGGTTTGGTTCCTTAATACGACATACACAGAAAAAGCCAGAAAAATCAGCCGAGCGCTGGTGTCATGCCTGTAGTCCTAGCTACTCAGGAGGCTGACATCTGAGGATCAAGGTTCAAAGCCAGCCCAGGCAGGAAAGTCCAATGAGACTCTTATCTCCAATAAACCACTCAGAAAACCAGAAGTGGCGCTGTGGCTCAAGTGGTTAGAGCACTAGCCTTGAGCTGAAGAGCTGAGGGACAGCGCCCAGGCCTGGAATTTTATCCCCACAACTGACAAAAATAATAACAACAACAAAAAAAGCCAGAAGTGGTGCTGTGGCTCAGAGTGCTAGCCTTAAGCAAGAGAAGCTCAGGGACATTACCCGGGCCTTGAGTTCAAGCCCCAGGACTGGCAAAAAACACAAAAATGAAAATGTACAGCTGATGATGGTAATTAGGATCCTGGTCCTTCCCACAAGGGACCAATAGCAGCAGCAGCAGCAGCAGCAGGAGGGAAGGTGACTGAGAGGACATGGTCCAGTCAGAAGCAGGTTTTCATTTTGTTGTGTGACGCAGGGAAACATGGTGGCCCTTGTGCACGACAGTGAAGACGCCGAGGATGAGGAGAATGAGCTCCTGCTGAATGGCCTCAGTCATCAGAGCCACCTGATCCTGCACGCTGAAGGCCTGGCCACTGGCTTCTGCAAGGATGTACACGGGCAGGTACGTCAGAGTTGGGGCCTACATTGGCTGCTTTACCCTCTGAGGGGCAGGGCTCAGACCCTGAGTTCAAGCCCAAAGACTGGCGAAAACAAATAATTAAAGAATAGGTAGGTGCTGGTGGTTCATGCCTATAATTCTAACTATTGCAGGTGGCTGAGATCTGAGGATTGTGGTTTAAAGCCAGCCCCAGTAGTAAATTCTAGGAGACTCTTCTCTCCAGTTAATCAGAAAGCTGGAAGTGGAGCTGTGACTCAAGTGATAGAGTACTAGCCTTAAGTCAAAAAGGGAGCTAGCAAATGAGCTGATTCCTCTTAGTACTACAGTGATCTTTGAGTACTCTGCACAACACTGTTCTTTAAAAAATAACGAGTTGGGCTGGACGCTGGTGGCGCACGCCTGTTATCCTAGCTACTCAGAAGTCTGAGATCTGAAGATCAAGGTTCAAAGCCAACCTGGACAGGAACGTCCATGAGACTCTAATCTCCAATAAACCACCAGAAAATGGGAAGTGGCGCTATGGCTTAAGCGGTAGAGAGCTAGCCTGGAGCTGAAGAGCTGAGGGACAGCGCCCAGGCCCAAGACATGGTCCCTGAGCTCACTCAAGCCTAGGGTTCTACCTCTTTGAGACACAGCACCACTTCTGGTTATCAAGGTTCATTGGAGATGAGTCTCATGGACGTTTCCTGCCCAGGCTAGCTTCTAATAATGATCCTCAGATCAGTAGCTAGGATGACAGGCATGAGCCTCCAGTGCATGGCTGGTTGTGTACTGTTTTTTTTTGGCCAGTCCTGGGACTCAAACTCAGAGCCTGGCCACTATCCCTGAGCTTCTTTTACTCAAGGCTAGCACTTTACCACTTGAGCCACAGTGCCACTTCTGGCTTTTCTGTTTATGTGGTCCTGAGGAATCAACTCCAGGGCTTCATGCCTCCTAGGCAAGCACTCTACCACTAAACCACCTTCCCAGTCTCTGATGTTAGATCCTTTTAACCCAGAATGGACAATTGGCCTGGAATCATTTGGAATGAGAATGGCCAGGAATGCTATTGGGGTGTCTGTGGTACAGCATGGGTAGAAGGTTCTGGATAGGCAGCTGTGGTTCCTCTCAAACCTGTTCCTCAAGCATTTCAGTCAGCAGCAGCAGCAGAATCAATGTGCAGCCTTCCCGCACCTCTGTGCAGAATGTGCATTCTCTGATGTCAATAAGTATAAAACCAGATGTTGGTGCTCACACCTGTAATCCTAGCTCCTCAGAAAGCTGAGATCTGAAGAGTATGGTTCAGAACCAACACAGGTAGGAAAATCTGTGAGACTCTTATCTCCAATTAATCACTGAAGTGTAGCTGCGGCTCAAGTGGTAGAATGCCAGTCTTGAGTGAAAAAGCTAAGGTGGGCTGGGAATGTGGCTCAGTGGTAGAGTGCTTGCCTGGCATGCAGGAAGCCCTGGGTTCGATCCCTCAGTACTACATACACAGAAAAAGCTGGAAGTAGTGCTGTGGCTCATGTGGTAGAGTGCTAGCCTTGAGTAAAAGAACCTGGAGATAGTGTCCAGGCCCTGAGTTCAAGCCCCAGGACTGGAAAAAAAGAAAAAAGAAAAAGCTAAGGGACACCACCCAGGCCCTAAGTTCAAGCACTGAGCCCGACAAAACAAAACCAAAAAACCAAAGGCCACACTGAATTCATCTTTGTGACCAGGATGAACATGCTTGATGTAGATCAGGACAACTAACCATCACTAGGATATTAGAAGATACCTCACTTAAATTGGTCTAATTCAACATTTTGTTTATTTTTAGTGTTGGATCTGCTTATACCCTTTATGTACCCAGTAAGCAGGTCTTAATCACGTTTATGCAAGTGTTGTCTTTATAATTCTACTTTGGGAACTATCTGCTTGTCTGTCTCCCTGTAGTATAGACTTCCAGAAAAAAAAAAATCACAGGTTAACATTTAAACCCTAGATATCTTTATTTATTATTATTTTTTCTAGTCCTGGGGCTTGAACTCTGGTCTGGGATTTTGTCTCAGTGCTCAAGGCTAGTGCTCTACTACTTGAACCACAGCGCCACTTCTGGCTTTTTCTGTTTATGTGGTACTGAGGCTGGAACCCAGGCTGGAACCCAGGTCTTCACACATGCTAGCCTAGCCAAGCACTCTACCACTAAGCCACATTCCCAGCCATAGATACCTTAAAAAAAAAAAAAAAAAAAGGAAAGAAAAAAAGCAGGTGCTGGTGGCTCAAACTTGTAATGCTACCTACTTTGGTGTGGTGGCTCTGATCTGAGGATTGTAATTCAAAGCCAGCTCTGGCAGGAAAAGTCCATGAGACTCTTATCTCCAATGAGTTACCAGAAAACCAGAAGTGGAACTATGGCTCAGGGATAGTACCCAGGCTCTGAGTTCAAGCCCCAAGCCCACCAAAAACAAAAAAGAAAAAAAAGTTTCCATGGGAACTGTATTTAAAAAAAGAAAAAGAGACAATGGGAAATACCTAAAAATACTATTATAATTTTTTTTTTCCCATGGGTGACATTTTTCTTTTTTGTTTTTTGGTCATGGGGCTTGAAATGTGGGCCGGGTGCTGTCCCTGAGCTCTTCAATTCGAGGTTAGTGCTCTACCACTTGAGCCACAGTGCCACTTCCAGTTTTTTGGTGGTTAACTGGAGATAAGAGTCTCATGAACTGTCTGTCCTGCCCAGGCTGGCTTTGAACCACAATCCTCAGATCTCAGCCTCCTGAGTAGCTAGGATGACAGGTGTGAACCACTGGTGTCTGGCTTGGGTGACATTTTTCTTCTTTTACTTTTCTGTAATGAGTGAGCAAATATAGCTTATTTAATGCAGGGATGACTATTTTTCATTAGCTAGTCATGTTTATTTTAGAAATTGGTTTCAAGCTGGTCTCTGGCGGCTCCTACGTGTAATTCTAGCTTCTTAGGAGGTTATGATCTGAGAATCAAGGTTTAAAGCCAGCCAAGACAGACAAATATGAGAGACTCTGATCTCCAATTAACCAGCAAAATTCAGAAGTGGAGGCGTGGCTCAAATGGTGCAGTGACTATTGTGAGCAAGAAAGCTGACGAGAGCCGGAGGCTTGTGGGTGCAGGTGGCTCATATCCGTAATCGTAGCTACTCTGGAGGCTTTGATCTGAGGATCCCAGTTTGCAGGTAGCCTAGGCAGAAAAATCTGTGAGTCTCTTTATCTCCAACAAATTAGTCAGAAAATGCTGGAAGCGGTGCTGTGGCTCACGTGGTAAAGCACTAGTTTTGAGCACAAAGAGGCTCAGGGACAGCACCCAGGCCCAGCATTCAAGCCCCAGGAATGATCAGAAAAACAAAAAGGGCATGAGGCTCTGAGTTCATGCCTCAGTCCCACTACACGGGCGCGGGCACGCACGCGCACACACACACACACACACACACAAAAGAATGAAACAGAAGTTGGTCCCATTACTGTACAGTGTGTTATGTGATCTCAGAGGACAGAGTGGGGTTCACAGTGGCACTTGGAGTGACTGCCCCTCTTTCATTCTTCTTCCTATTTGCAGCTGAAGATCCTTTGGAGGAAGTCCACAGGCCGGCGGGATCGGAGCCTCATATACCAGTATAAGATACAGGACAAGAACGTGTCCTTTTTTGCCAAAGGGATGTCTCCTGCCGTCTTGTGACTCGATTTAGGGGGCAGCTAAAGCTAACTTGGACCATTTTTTAGCTGCGTAAAAGGTAGCAGCCTGCCAGGAAATAGTCTTTTATGTTGGACTGGTTGAACAGAAAGGGTTGGATGGTTCTATGATGGCATGTATACCTTTACGTGGGGCCCTGTTCTGAAAACAGAGAGAGGAATCTAGCCCTGGAGGCTCCTATCTGTAAATCCTAGCTACTCGGGAGGCTGAGATCTGAGGATGGCAGTTCAAAGCCAGCTTGGCCAGGAAAGTCTGTGAGATTTTGAGCTCCAAAAAGTTGGAAGTGGAGGTGTGGCTCGAGTGGTAGAAGGCTTGAGCAAATAAATTAAGGGACAGCGCTCATGTCCTGAGTTTAAGTCCCCAGTACTGGCATACATAATGAGTTAATTAAAAATACTGCTATTTTTTTCTGCTTGTTTAACTTGTTTTACATTTGTCAAAAGCTCCTCCATTTGTCTTTATAAAGGAAAGAGCTCATCACCTTCTCCTTCTAATCAAGCTCTATTTAGTGTGTAATTTATCCCGATGTGGCTCCTGACCATAAGCCTAGGCTGAGATCTGACACCATTTTACTACCAAAAAGCTAGAAATAAAGCTGTGGCTCAAGTGGTAGAGTGCAATCCTTGGGGGTGGGGGTGGGGGTGGGGGTGGGGAGCTCAAGGAGGCATCAATGGCTAAACCTATAATCTTAGGAGGTTGAGGTCTGAGGATCAGGCTTCAAAGTTTGACCGGGCAGGAAAGTCCTTGAGACTTATCTCCAATTAAAGATCAGAAAACGGGATGTAGAAAAGAAAAAAAAAAAAAAAAGAAAACGGGAAGTGGAGCTGTGGTTCAAAGTGACAGAGTGCTAAGCCCTGAGCACAAAAGTTCAGGGGCGGTGCCCATGCCCTGAGTTAAAAAAAACAACATAAAAACCCCCGAACAGGAGCAGCCGGACTTGGTGGCCCATGCTGCAACCCATGCCTGCAATCCTAGCTACCCAAGGGGCTGAGACCTGAGGCTCAGTGGTGAGGATGACCTGGGCAGATAAGTCTTGTTAGCTGCTTACCCCCAATTAACCAGCACAAAAGCCGTCAGCGGACATTTGCTCAAGTGGTAGAGCTGAAGAGCTCACCCCCAAACCAAACCCACCCACCCTTCATTCCAGATACACGATGCACCCAACCATCTGCTTGTCCAGTGTAACTCAGCTGCTTTTGGGGCTGGAACTCGGGGCCTCAGCTCAGCTCAAGGCGAGCGCTCTACCACCGGGGCCACAGCGCCGCCTCCGGCTAAATTTTGCTGCTTCTGTGGTGCTGGGGACTCGAACCCAGGGCCTCATGCATGCAAGGCAAGCGCTCTACCCCTGAGCCACCGGCCCAGCCCCCCCCCCCCCAGCGGCTCTCGATGACTGTGTTGTGGTTGTTTTCTCTCCCGGGACGCGGATCCGAGGGTCTCCAGCCTCCCTCCTAGTTCTTGGCTGCTCCCCAGCAGGGAACGTGAGCCATCTTGTGCGCGCCCTCGGTGACTTTCGGGGGGAACGTGCTGCCGAAAGCTCCGCAGCGGCCGGCCGTGGGGGGCCGGGAGCGGGGGTGGGGGGCGAGGACCCCCGTTTGCTTCCTCCCAAGCTCCCCGCCCCTCGGGCGCCGTCGCTTCCCCTCCGCCAAGCAGCCAGCCACACAGGACTTCCTCCCGGATGAGTGGCAGGTGGCCGGGGGACGGCCAGGGGGCGGGGCGAGAGCTGCGGGACGCGTAAGCCCCACTGCGCAGGCGCGCGCGCAGGCGCACGCCGTGTGTGTGTGTGGGGGGGAGAGGCGGGGGCGGAGCCGCACGTGTGAAGGGCGGCGGAGGCGGCGGCGAGAGGGGAAAGGTAGAAGGTGAGAGGTGAAGGGGCGGGGAAGGACGCCGGCGCCCGGGCGGCCGTGAAAAGGGAGAGCGCGGCTGGCGTCCCGGACGGGGCCGCGGTCT